GCGGGTGGAGATGGGGGGGGGGGTGGCGGTCAGGAAGCAGGGCTAGCCGGGAGGGGGGAGCGGGAAACGGGGCTGGGGGGGAGGGGTCGAGGGGAGCTGGGCTGGCCGGGGGGAGAGCGGGGAGGGAAAGACTTGGCCAGCAGGGAGCAGGACTGACCTGGGCACATGCAGATGCCAGGATGTTGCCCGTCCCGCACACGATTCCGGCGAAACATGAGCGAGTCCGGCTACGGCTCCACAACGCACTTGAACAGTGCTCAGGAGCATGGACAGGGCTTTTCCTCCTCCCCAGGTGTCACTCCTATGTCAGATGCAACCGGAGGCTCCCAGCACTGATCGCACCCCGCCTCTGCTAGGCTTCCATAGGGCGCCCAGCCAGAAAACCAGAAAATACCGGACATTGCACATGTATGGTATTTTCTGATTTTTTTTACCGGACAGAGGGCCCAAAACCGGACAGTCTGGTTGAATACTGGACACCTGGCAACCCTATCCACACACACATCATCCAAGGCTTAATTTGTCCCTGGGCTTGCCACAGCTGGGTAAATTTGTGGTGAAAAGTGATATTTGTATGTTACTATCACTTTTCACAGCAGTCTTAGTAACTAGCAAGTCTTTAAAACAAAACAAACAAACAAACAAAATACAAGCAACCAAGAAAGCAAAAAACATAACAAGAATAAAGAAAGAACGTGCAAAACAACTTTTTTGTGTTTCTATTCTGTTTAGGTCTAGTAAAGCTTAGACGCAAGTATACGTTGTCTTTATTGTTGAATCTGCAAAACAAATCTAATATATATACATTTCTATGATTTGGACATGTATATGTGCATAAAAACTGTCAGAGTGTCCTCCAGCAAAAGTTGATGGAGGCCACCAAGAAACAGTGAGAACCCCTGTTCTAAGCCCTAATTCCATTGGGTTAATTTTGTTCATAGGACCGGTCTGTGTTTGTAAAACTTGCACTTGTATAATAAATGGATTAAGTGACAGAGATGCAAACCCATACCCCAGGCACATATAAACTGTTTCACATTTCACTTCTACCAGTTTGTCTTACTTCAGTAAATTGCTAGATTTTAACTGGTTTAAATCCATGCCCATTAGAGGTTTGCATTGGTACAAACAAGTCCATGCAAAAATTCATGAGTAGCCTAATCCTTTCTGCACCTACAAATGCTATATAAAATAAATGTACTATTAACTTCACCTTCAACCAGGTTCTCTTTTATAACACTTTATAATATATTATAAAAGCCATGGATTAATATAACTATCCATTGTAACTTTATCCATCTGTGACTGGTCCACTGGGCCCCACACTAGAACCGGCAAAGCCTCCTCCGCTTTTCCGGTGGGTGGAGGAGGCCACGCGAGGGAGGAGATGCCACGCCGCCAACCAAAGGCACAATGCTCGGGTGCACGGGCGATGGGAGGGGGTGGGCTGAGCCGGGGAGAAGCCAACGTGGCAGGACATCAGGGCCGCGGCCCGTGGAGGGGGGGAGATGCGGGAGAACTGTGGGACTCCCAAGAAGACGGAGGGATGCCCCAACCCAGAGACGGACTGGAGCAACGGCCGCCCTGAGAGGACCGCGGCAGTGTCGAGGAGGAAGAAGCCTCGGAGACTCCGGTAGGAACAGCAGGCAGAAAGCGGAGTGATAAAGACAGTGGAGGGGGAAGGAAGCAGCCAGGGCAGGGCAGTTTTGGCGTCCGTGGACTGACGAGTTTCAGGGGAGCACCGTGTCAGCTGGGTAGAGAGTTATCCATCCCTACCCCTTAGGGCCTCAGGCTGGGGCCCGGTGGAGAAGGAGGACCTAGGTTCCCTTTACCCCCTTTCCAAACAAAGGGAGTGCGCTTGCCATAGACGTTCAGGCAACAATCAACCTACCATAACAGACCATTGGACTTTAGCCCTATGGGGAACTACGAATTCATGGGAGTTTGGGAACGACTTTAAGGTGGTCAGTCACCCGGGACCCTGCCCGAACTCACAAGTAGGGGCACCCGGCCAAACCAAACCACCACACAATCATTATAAAGGACTTTCTTTTTAGACCACTCAGTCTTAAGAGGTGGCTCATAAAATTGAAAAGGACCTGCAATGTATATAAATACTGCTATTTGTCAGTAGAATACAATGCATGTTAATACAATGTACAGTCTATACTACTTGTTAGGGATACATTCAATACAGTTCTTTTCTTAACTGGGATGCTTCAAATGTTGTGTGCAGTTATCAAGAGTGAATGGGGGCAGAATAGCACTTCATTATCACCAAATTAAGACTGGAGAACAGAGCACAGCTCAAATGCTGCTATTTACTGTTTCTCCAGGCAATAATGCACAATCTGTCTCCACTATCTCCTATTGGAGAGAACAAGATTCCATCAGGCAATTAAATATGAGTCAGGCATTTGCCATATTCAGAATTCCTCTCTCAGGCAATAAAAAAAGTGTTCTATGGGCTGTGTTAGTTATCTGATGAGGTTTTTGTGTTGCTTGCCAGTCTATGCTCTCAAATGTTTTTAATGCAAATTAAATCTTCCTATTTTATCAAGACATCATTTTTGAACACACAGGAATTTTTATTTGAGGGTGTACGAGCAGGGCACCCTCAGTCGAACGTGTGTTTAGATGCCCCCACTCGTGTTCTCCCCAACTGGGGTAGGTCCTCAGTATCCCTTGCTAGCTCTGTCCTGTTGCCAGGCACTTGGTTCGCTCGCTATTGCTGGTCTGTGGTGGTAGGAGGGTCTGGGCCTGCCCTCTCTCATGGGCCCCAGCCCAGGGCCCTAAGGACAGGTTCGCTGGAACCTGTCCAGCCAGTGGGGCTAACACCCGCAACTCACCGGCTCACCAGCTCCAAGCCCTGCCCTGGGCTACTTCCTACCCCACAGTCTCTCCTTAGACCCACTGCCATCCCCGGGTTTCCGACTCCCTGTCCAGGGGCTGCCACGCCCGGGCGTGCTCCCTCCCAGGTTCCTCCTCTCCTCGGGTGGCCTCCTTCCTCCCTGCCTCCTACCTGGGTGTCTTCCTTCTCCCGGGTGCCCCCCCTCTCCTACCTCTTCCCCGGGTTTAAATGTGCTGCGCCAGCGTCCTCCCGGCGTGATGTCAGCCGCCACGCACGTCACGGCTGACATGCAGCCTGCCCGGCTCCGTCCCCCCGCCTCTCAGCTGAGAGGCGGCGGCAGTACAGGGGCCACATGCCACCCACACTTCCTGGAGCATCTCAACACACATGGCCTGGAAACAAGCAGGCATGGGAAGGTGCCAGCCAGGCCAGAAGCCTGTGGGCAGCAGGCAGGAATGGAGTGGTTCAGCTTCCTACTGTATCCGGCACACACTGGGTCCGGCACTGGTAGCATCCCATGGAGAGAGAAATTCTATCCCTGTCCACTGGTGGGGTGGGGTGGGTTTGTTACAGAATTGTTTGCTATTTGTATAAAATGGTCTGTTTGTGCACAATTATGAATTATGTATAATGAATGAGCAGGTTACATCTATGTATTAGCCTTGCAATGATATCATCAATGTTTGTATTATTCAGATGTCATCAACTATAATGGTTAAACTTGTATTGTTGTTGCTCTGTTTATTGTTTTTGTTCTGTTTCAAATGTGCATGAATATTCATGTGTGGAACATCGTTACATTTATGAATATTCATAGGGTGAACAGTTGCTCATATATATATTAATGTGTTTATCTGAAGGACCAATCAGTTTAAATCTATGTAAATTAGCATCCTCTGTCAGCCAACCAATTTGAAAGAACCCCTATGCATAATGCATGAACCGTACCTATAAAAGTCTGCACCGAGCCCAAAGTTGCCGTTGAGTCGGGGCGTCGGACTTAGGCATAGGTATAGGTCTAGGCATAGGTGAGAGAGAGAGAGAGAGAACGAGATGCGTATTGTCCCGTGAAGATTGAGTGCATAAGTTAGAATAAGATAAGAGTACAGACAAAGCGGAAGGTTTTGGTCTATCCATTTAGATTAGGTAGTTTAGTTTTAGATAGGTTAGTTTTTCGTCGTCGTGCCTGTTCGTTAGGTTTGCGTCGGTCCATGCACGTCAGCCGTCGTCGAGACCGTTCATTGGGCGCGTCGAGGTTTAGTTAGGGTTAATTTAGGATAAGTAGGTTAGGTTAGCTAGAGTCTAGGTCAACCATCGCCGGTTCCAGCTGCCCCGAAGCACAGGAAGAGTTGTGACCTGTGGAAGACGATCATCGCACTCAATTCCAGCTGCTTCGTGGGACTCCTGGCCATTCCTCTCCAAGGGCCTGTAAGGACCTAAGGATCGAGGTCGCCAGCTTCAGTGCTGTCAACCACTGTGGGACTCCTGGCTGTTCCTCTCCCTAGGCCCGAAAGGACCGACGGATTGCAGGTTGCCAGCGACACTTCCATTGTCTCTGCGCCGTAGACTCTGTGGTAATTTTTATGTGTTGTGACTAATTGTTTTGCTTTTTTGATCTTTTAAAATATAGTCCTGTGGTAGAAACTTATTAAATTGTCAGTAGTAATTTCGAGCGCCACATACCAATTAAAATTTAGAGAAACCCAATGATAGATGTGGGAAGTGGGTCCGCATTTGTAATTTTCTTATAGGTTAATCAGGCTAATTGGCAATCAATTAGTGAACACCGTTACCTTCACGCGCCAGGTAACAGGTTGGAGGGAGGTGTGTGTGAGCAGCAGGCACTGCTTGCCAGAGAGAGTGCCAATAGGTTCTCCTCCTCTCCCTCCTCCTGGCAGGTTCCCATGCATGATATCAGTCTTCTCTGCATCACCATGCTTGATTGGGAGCAAATGCTGCCTGAATGCGGGCATGACTCTGGGCTGTGTGTGGCATTTCTGTGTGGTTCCATGATTCCAGACAACTTAGCGGTGGCTTGGCATGGAAATGTGTCCTACCACGGAGGCCAGAGTAAGACAGGCCTCTCCAGGCACCTCGTGGGAAGGATCAAGAGGTTTCTGTGTGAGTGCGTCATGGAACTGAGTGCTCCAGACTGGCGCTCCATTTGCAGACACATGAACAAGCTGTACTCTGACCCCCACGCCACGTAGGCTGAGAGGGGAGCACTCAGCCTGTCACCTAACCCTGCTTGTAGATAAAGAAAGGTAGAGAGCTCACCAGAAATGCCTTCCGCAGGGTCGTCGGAAGCCTGGGAGATGTCCTGGGATGGGAGGGAAGAGGAGGAGAGAACCGGCTCCAAGATGAGGAGCAGCTTCTGGCTCTTGGGCATTGTTGCCTGCCTAGCCTTCTCCTTCTTCTCCTCCTCCACATCGTCATCCTCCTCCTCCACGACCCACCCTCCTGCAGGCTGATGCCAGACCTGTCTTGGCCAGACTCAATGACCATAGTGGGGGAGGTGACTGGCCACCCTCCCAGGATGGCATCCAGCTGTTCATAATAGCGGCAGGTGTGAAGTGCTGCCCCAGAGCATCCACTCTGCTCCCTGGCCTGTTGGTAGGCCTGGCAGAGCTCTTTTATTTTGAGCCTGAACTGCTACAGGTTCCTGGTGTGGCCTTTCTCTGCCAGGCTGCTGTCGATGTCAATGTTCCTCTTCTTGGTCTGAGGATCCTGGAGGTTGGACTCCTCCCACACACCTCAGTGTGGTCCAGGATCCCCATACCAGCAGTCTAGGTTGGAGCTCTGGGCAGTGGAAACTGTCGGAGGAGACCAAGTGCTGGCAGGCATCGGAGGGTCTGAGGCAGCGTTGGGGGTACTCATGTCTCACAGTGGTGCTTGCTTGCAAAGGGCTGGCAAAACTGGGAATGTTGGACAGGCCCTTCTCCTGATCCTGGGACTTTTAGCGCTTTACAGGAGGAGAAGAACAGTTGAGATGCTAGGTGTGGCCAGTGTGGTCAGAGCTGACAGCTGCAAGAGGCCTTCAGAGGCCAATTAGTTGGAATTAATAGCACTGGAGCATCCACACTAACGATATTTCAGATTTACAAGATGAAAAGGAGGAGCACAGAGTTTGAATGCCAAAATAATGGGCTTAGTAGTGTGGGTGCATCGCTTACTAATTTGAACTTGGGGGGGAGGGTTATTTCAGGCTAAGGTCCTAGTGTAGACCAGGCCTTAGTGAATAGTTAGTTCTCTTTAGTGGGGAGTCCAAACGGCAATACAAGCAAATTCACCTATTGTGAATGAGGAATTTTTTAAAATGATGTTACTATAGATTAGAGTTAGTCAGAAATCTAACTGTCTCTGCTGGGAAATTCCAACATTGATTTTTTTTTCTCATTCTGAAAGATGAAGAAAAGCCAAAGCTTCAAAATTTCTCATTAAATTAAAAATCTGAAAAAATTAGATTTGGGACCATAAAAATCTTTTGGTAATGTTGAATGGGTTCAAATGGATGAGGTAAAAACATGTTATTTGATTTTATCTTTTCAATTAGACTTATTTTATATTCAGACATTAAATATATCAATGTATAGCAAAATTAAAATATTTAAATATACTTAAATATCAAAACAACATCAAAATAAAGTGTTTTTCTTTATCAAAACATTTTACCTCATTGGACTGACAATATTTTGATTTAGATGTATTTCTGTTTTTTCAAATGTTCTGTCAAAAAAAGTTTTTGACCGGCTCTACTGTAGATGATGCTGAAGCAATAATTATGTGTTGGGGCAGAGGAGGTCCCTAGTAGAAATTTTGCACTGATGTGAATAGTGATGCTATAGTGGACCAGATGTGTCACTGTGTTCTAGCCCATGCCAATAGATAGTAACCTATGTATCTACACTGATACAGCTCTCTGGGTATCTTCTCAAGTCAAACATATGGTCAGGATCCCAACAAGGACAGTTGGAGCCAAGGGTCAGAGCAGGAGCAAACCTGAGGCTGGAGGTAGTGAAGGAGTTCATAGTCAGATTTAGACCAGGGTTGATACCAAGAGTTAAAATCAGGTTTCAGGGTCCAAGTCAGGAGGCAAAATCCAAATCAAACTGAGACCAAGCAGGGAGCCAAAATAGTTGCGGCAGCTACAGACGATCCATACTATTGCCTGGATACTTTCTGTAATGCCCTTGGGCTGTTGTCTGTCAAACTCTGCATGTGGAATTTATCATGGTCTGTATCCACAGCAGGAACTGGTGGGCAAGAAGGTTACCATGGCAGGGGGAATGATCAGAGCTTGCTCTTTTCTCAGGGAGCTCCTTTTCTACTGAATATCCTTAATTTGCTGCATCAAAGCTCTCCTCATGAGTTAGAGAAGCAGTAGAAGAACTGATAAACCTTTCTAAAATGACACAAGTGAGGGATGTGTTGATACACATGTCAACCCCTCACTGACAAAAGAGCATTTACAAACCATGCATCTCTTCAGCTATAATTAAGTGGGTCTGTGACTAAATGGGAAAAAATAGTTGCAGTGGAAATCTATTCTATAGCTTGTGGTATTTTCTTAGGCAAATAAGAGTGAGAAAACTTACAACTTTGTTATGGACTGAATCATTCAAAGTTAATTTTATATTTTTATAAAGTTTAGTGTGCATTTGTAAAGTAATGAAAGTATAATCCTTAAAGTGCAATTTTTTAAAATGTATACAAGCAAGTACAATGCAGTTACAATTTCATATGAAAATTCCTTATAATTCTTAAATAATGCAAATTATAAATTATTTCATTTATTTATGTAGTTTTTATATCATTTTCAGTATCACAGTATCAGAGCACCTTCCTGTACAGTAGTAAGTCATATGCCTAACATCTGTCACATCTGTCACATGCAGTTTGTTCAATTTCTTTCATGATTATTAGTGATTTATTTTGTCTGTTTAGATATTGATATATAAAAAGCCTAATTTCTTTTGTTAGAGACATTCAAATAAACAGGAAGTTTCTGTCACCCAGTGGTGACAGTCACATTGATCTGAATTCTTCTTTAGTAGATTCCTTTTTTTATTAATAGATGGTAGATGGCTACTTTTAATTAGTAGGATTTCTAAGAAACCAAATCAAACCCTCATTCTAAATGACTAAGTAAAACATTTTTGTACAGATCCTTTGGGAAAAAACCTCGTATCCAGTTTTAATTTTATTTAGTATCGCCAAATGTAATTTGAACCACTGTTCTTTAGGGATAAATTCAAAGACTTTAATTTGTGAGAAAAATCTAACCAATGGACTGACTCTC